GCACCTCTGGATGGACCGAACCCCCAATCTTTCAGTTAGCAGCTATGTGCATTAACTGTTTGCACCATCCAGGGTGCAAACCCATAACAGAATTATGATCATAGAATTATGAGTTTGAAAAAATAGGCATATTTTTCTAATACCCATTAAAAAATACTATTAAAAAATATCTAATTGTCCTAAGAAACCAAGCCATGAGGCAATGCTGAATTTGGCCATCATTTTGGTCCTGTTTGTGGAGAAGAGGAAGGATGCAGGGTTTAGTAATAAGATTATCTGGCTCCTGGTTAAGGAAGTAAAGGGGACCTATTAGTCCCTCAGTATGTCCTGGATTAGGTGCTATGGGCACAAAACAGAGAAGGCACGGGGTCTGCTTGGGGAGTATTGGTCATTTAATAGTGGGTAAAAGAAGGTGCTGACTCACCAAGGCTGCGGCCATAGTGGTGCTAATTTACAAACGTGGATCCACTGGGCCAGAGAAAGTCAGAATAATAGCGCACTTAGAGATAAAGCCTCCAACCTTCGTGATACAGGAGCAGAAACCAAGGCCAGCGTGTGAGAGTATGTGAACACGGTCACCCTCACAGGGAATGTAAGGACAAGGGCCCAAATGCCCGGACTGTCCGCAGCGAGGGATCAGCCCACAGGGTAGGCTTTTATTTAGTGCATTTCTGTTGAGAGGACATTCAGAAATTCCCTGGGCTCTGTCCTTAGGATGTGGATATAGAATAAAGGTAGCTGAATGGGATGCTTGAATGTCATTCTGACATAAATCATTAGTGATTCCTCTTTGAACGCTCGGTTGGATCAAGAAGAAAAGCTCTCTGAATCAAAGTAATAGTGAAAACATTATGAGACAATTGGGGAAATCTGAACACTGACTCAGTATTTGCCGAATTGTATAGGGGTGCTAACAGGCTAAGCACCTGGCTGCTAACCGAAAGGTCAGCGGTTCGAACTTAACCAGTGGCTCCGAGGGAGAAAAGACCCGGCAATCTGCTGTAAAGATTACAGTCTAGAAAACTTTATGGGGCAGTTCTACTCTGTTATATAGGGTTGCTTTGAATCAGAAGAGGAACCCTGGTGGCACAGTGGTTAAGTGTTCGGCTGCTAACCCAAAGGTTGGCGATTCAAAGCCACTAGCTGCTCCTTGGGAGAAAGATGTGGCAGCCTGCTTCTGTAACGATTACGGCCTTGGAAACCCTGTGGGTCCATTCTACTCTGTCCTATAGGGTCGCTATAAGTCGGAATCAACTCGGCATACCTAACAACAACAACAATTGGTATTGTGGCTATGTAAAAAAGATACACACTAACGTATTTATGGAGAAAATGACACAATGTCTGTGATTTGCTTTAAATATAATCCAGCGCTGGGGGAATAGTTGTGGACTTGGGTGAAGTATGGGTGAAACAAGTCAGCCCTTGATTTGATAATTGCTGAGGCTGGGTGATGGGTACATGGGAGTTTATTAGACTATTTGCTCTCCTTTTGTATGTTTGGAATTTTCCATGATAAAAAGTTAAGAAAAAAATATCTTGATCTCCAAAGTACGTTCAGTCCTTTGATAGCACCATGGGGATTTCCCATGTGCCACGTTCAGGGAACCAGACCAGGGCTTGTATCTTAGTGAGTAACCTAGTGCTATTTACCTTGTCCAAGTTTCAATTTCTCCTTCTGTAAAATGGAAATAATGACACGTTTGAAGTAAGAGCTGTGAGGATGAGATGAATCTAGCAGGTTAAACACTCAGCTCACGGCTGAGCACAGCACTGGGCCCCACGATTTGTTTCCTTCCTCCCTTGCCTTCTCTGGATTGGGGACACAATGTTGACTAAAACCACATTTTTCCATGATGATACCTTCTAGGGGAACAGTGGTGGTTAGGTGCTAGAATTGTCGTCTTCCATGCGGGACACCCAGGTTCGATTCCCAGCCAATATACCTCATGCGCAGCCACCACCCATCTGTCAGTGGAGGCTTGTGTGTTGCTATGATGTTGAAAGGTTTCAGTTGGAGTTTCCAGACTAAGAAAGACTAGAGAGAAAGGCCTGGTGATCTACCACCGAAAATCAGCCCATAAAACCCCCATGGATCACAAAGGTCTGATCAGCAACCGATCATGGCGATGGCACAGGACCAGGGCAGCTTTTCGTGCCATTTTGCATGGGTTCATCATGAGTCATGGCTGACTAGATGGCAGCTAGCAACAACAACATCTTCTGGAACAAGATCCTGCTGAGACAGAGTCCTGCACAGGTTCCAGTGCAGACATGGACCTCTCAAGATTCACTCCTTATTCACTGGGCTAATCCTTCCCAGAAACTAGCATCCAGGGACCTGAAGCTTACAAGGAAAATACTTGTGTGGACTATCAACTCTGATCTGTGTTCATTCTGATCCCAGACTCAGCCACCAGAGCCCATGTGCTTCACCAACTGGGAAATGGAAAAACCATGGAGGCTGAATTTATTTAAAGTAAATAAGGAGCTGACTAGAGAATGCGCACCCACCCTCGCTCTCTGGAAGATTAAGCATATCCTTACAAAGCTAATGACATGCGCTTATGCAAAGTTAATGGCTTATAACTGTGCCTTCTATTTTTCTAGCTCTTGGATCTTAAAGAATCCTAACCAACTTTATACATCCTGCAAAGCACATATCTCTATATACGCATATATATAAAATGCAGATAACTGACTTGTTTCCCATCCTCTCTATCTGTAACATTGTGAAATAACCTGAGAAATGAGGAATTGATATTTGGGGAGCATTTCAAATATACCTGGATGGAATGCTTTCGGTGTGTTTAGGAGTAGCTATCATGATCTTATTTCTATTTAAATTCATTGCTGCAATTGTTGCCTCTTCTCCAGAGTACTTTCCACCTGTTTGCCACTTTTGGAATACATCTCAGAAATCTCCCACTAGTGAAATCTACTTCTCTTGATAACAATGCCTTACATTTCTATAGCACTTGGCAGCTTTAAAAACACTTTTACATTCATTATCTCATTCAATCCTCGTAACAGTGCTGTGCACTAAGCAGGGCACATATATTATTACTTCCATTTTGCAGACACGTTTCATTGACTTGTTATGTTGGAGGGTGCTTTTGAGATCGTGTCATCTTAACTCCCTCTCTCTGGCGTTGTTGTTGTTAGTTGCAGCTGAGTCCATTCTGACTCGCAGTGACCTCATGTGTGCAGAGCAGACAGCTCCATAGGGTTTTCTAGGCTGTGACCTTTTGGAAGCAGATTGCCAGCCCTTTCTTCCGAGGCACCTCTGGGTGGGGCAAGAGAGAATGGGGCAAGGGAGCAGCACTGCCATTTAGGACATAGCAATTAGGGCGGCCGTACGTGTGATTACGCTGCCTGTCAGTTCATGTCGGGTGACAGCACACACCAGGGGCTGGGGCAGCTTGAGGGCCAGTTTGTTCCTCCTCTTGGATGACAGAAGTGTGCCAGAGCCCATGCTTAGTGCTTCCATTTCCCAGGTTTATACGGGTGGCAGAGCCAAGCTGGGCCTTTCTGCTTTACTGTCTTGCTAGACCTTGTTTGGGGTTCCTGGGTGGTGCAAACAGTTAATGCGTTTTGGCTGCTAACCAAAAAGATAGGTTCCAGTCCATGCAGAAAGGCCTCGGAAGAAAGGCCTGGTGATCTACTTCTGAAACATCACAGCCATTTGAAACTCTATGGAGCACAGTGCTACTCTGACACACTTGGGATCGCCATGAGTTGGAATCGACTCAACGGCAACTGGTTTTTATTTTCTTTGCCACCTTTGCTCCAACATGTGGAACTCTCATTGCTCGCCCTTCAGATATGATCAGCTTGGACTCTGCCGTCAGCCTGGCACTGTGCTTCGGGCTGGGACGGATGTTCAAGGGGCTGCTGGCAGGACAGACTCAGGGGCAGCTAAGAGGATGAGCCTGAATGCGGCAAGGGAGCAGGCTGGGCTGCCCGACAGCACTGCCATTTAGGACAGAGCAATTAGAGCGGCCATACGCGTGATTATGCTGCCCCTCAGTTCACATTGGGTGTGGGCACACAGCAGGGGCTGGGGCAGCTTAAGGGTCAGTTTGTTCCTCTTCTTGGATGACAAAAGTGTGCCAGAGCCCATGCTTAGTGCTTGTATGCATTACTTCTTCTAATCTTAAAACCATCTCTGTGAGCCAGGGAGGAAGGTACAATTATCCCATTTTGCAAATGCAGACCCTGAAGCCCAATGAGATCAAACAGCTTGTCTGAGTTCTTGTAGGAGCCCCTGGGTGGTGCAAACAGCATAGTTGGCTGCTAACCAAAAGGCTGGAGGTTTGAGTCCACCAAAGGTGCTTCGGAAGAAAGGCCTGGTGATCTATTTTCAAAACATCAGCCTTTGAAAACCCTATGGAGCACAATTCTACTCTGACACACACAGGGTCACCATGAGTCAGTACCAACTCAACTGCAACTGGTTTGGTTAAGTTCTTATAACTGGTAAGTGTTGGGGCTGGGCCTCAAAATATTTGATTGACTTTAAAGTCGGTGCCTTTGGAGTGCATTACGCTATGATATTCTTCCCTGTGAGGACCCCAAGAGGCCAAGTGCAAGACCCAACAGTGGCCAGGCCAAAACCAAATCAGTTGCCATCTACTTGACTCCAACTCATGGTGACCCCATGTATGTCAGAGTAGAACTGTGCTCCATAGGGTTTTCATGGCTGTGATCTTTCAGAAGTAGATCACCAGGCCTTTCTTCCAAGGCAGCTCTGGGTGTATTCCAACCTCCAACCTTTCAGTTAGCAACTGAGCGCTTTGTTGAGCCACTCAGGGACCCCTGTGGCCGGGTCATATGCTCTTATTTTTATTTAAATGCTCTGTTGCCACTGTCACCTCCAAGGGGCATGCCACCTGCTCCCACTTTCTGAAAGCATCCCAGACTAGGATACTTTGGGGTCTCAGCCAGTGCCGGGCGTGTCAGTTCCTTCTAACACCGGGCTTCCTTGTTCTCTCCCACAGAGGGGCACAGCCGAGCCGTTCCTGAGGCTCCACAACTTGTACACCACCCCGAGGTGCGCGCGGCAGGCCGCCCTGCCCAGGGTGAGCCGCAGGGTCGTCAGCCAGCACTCGTACCCGCTGAACCGCTTCTCCTCCGCGCCCTTGGACTCCATGGAGCGCCCCACCTCCCAGGCCGACCTCGAGCTGGATTACAACCCTCCCCGCGTTCAGCTCAGCGACGAGATGTTCGTCTTCCAGGACGGGCGGTGGGTGAACGAAAACTGCCGCCTGCAGCCTCCGTACTTCTCGCCCTCCTCCTCCTTCCACCACAAGCTGTACCACAAGCGGATGGCCAAGGAGTACCTGCTGCAGGAGGAGAACAGGTCCCTGCGCGAGGAGAACAAGGCGCTGAGGGAGGAGAACAAGACCCTCCGCAAGGAGAACAGGATCCTGCAGGCCTTCTGGGAGGAGCACAAGGCCTCCCTGGGCTGCGAGGACAGCAGGACCTCCGCGCCACCCCCGCCACCAATGCACAAGGACAGCGCGGCCCTCGAGGCGGCGAAGAAGGACAGCACGGCCCTGCAGGTGCTCCGCAGCAAGGAGAACAGCACCCTGCAGCTCCTCCGCGAGGAGAACCGGGCGCTGCAGCAGCTGCTGGAGCAGAGAAAGGCTTGCTGGGCCCAGACGGAGGACAAGGCGGCCCCCGCGGAGGACCACAAGCCCGCGGCCTCGCCCCACGAGGAGCCCCACAGCCCTGGGCTTCTGCCCGACCAGGCCACGGGCCTCTCCTCCCCCTTCGAGGAGCCCAAGGGGCCCCCGAGGCCGGAGGACGACTCGAAGACCCTCCGCGCCCTGCGGGAAATGCTCAACAAGCTGGCGAGCGCTTCCGGGGAGGAGGAGGAGAGCAAGGGCGGCGCGGGTCCGCAGGACTCCGGCCAAACCCTGCAGCTGCTGCGGGAGATGAACCAGGCGCTGCAAGCCCTCCGCGAGGAGAACCAGTCGCTGCAGCTCCTCCGCGAGGAGAACCGGCTCCTGCAGGAGGAGAACCGGGCGCTGCACGTGCTGCGCGAGGAGCACCGGGTCTTCCAGGAGGAGAACAAGGCCCTGTGGGAGAACAACAAGCTGAAACTGCAGCAGAAGCTGGTCATCGACACGGTGACCGAGGTCACCGCGCGGATGGAGATGCTCATCGATGAGCTGTACGCCTTCATGCCGGCCAAGAACAAGGACCTCAAGAAGCCGGGCCGGGTCTGAAGCCTCCGAGGCGCCCAGAGGCACCGAGCTTGGGGCACGGAACACTCCGGCAAAGACAATCTGCCGCCTTCCTTTGTTTTCCTCGCCCTCCCCCGCGAGTTCGTGCCTGTTGAAGAGCAGAATTAGCGGCCTCCCTAATCTCAGAGAAATAATAAAGGCGTGCGTGAGGAGGCTGGGGCCAGCCAACATCCGTGTCCTTTGCATTTTTCTTTTCCTTCTGTTTTTCTGTCACTCCCTAGTCTCTTCCTTACTTCTGCCTTCATTATTGTCTGTTTTCTCTTCCCCGTCTCAGTTCTTCTTTTTCTTTTCCTCCTCTCTTCTTTCTCCTCCTAACTTCCTTCCTCTCTTATCATTTTCAATTTCTGAGGCTATGGGGTAGGAGTGGGCCTGGCCATGTATTTCCAGAAAATCAGCCATTGAAAACCTTATGGAGCACAATTCTAGTCTGACACATATGGGGTTGCCATGAGTTGGAACTGATTCTACCGCAACTGGTATTGACCATTTAGTTTGGGAAGGGCTGTTCTGTGCTCTCCCTGACCCCAGCCTCACCTACCTACCCCAGGGTTCCCTCTACTTCCTCTTGGTTCACACTCCCCGGTTGTATGCAAGGGTTGGAGTGGGGTCTACCAGGCTGACTGGAGGGAGATGGACAAGCTCATGTTTTTGCGTCCTCGGCTTCAGTTCCTTTTTAACGTTGGATATACTTTAGACGAAGAAGTTAAAAGGTGGCCTCAACTGACTACAGAGTTGGGTAGTGATTCTCAACCTTTGCCGCACAGTGGAACATTCGAGGGTCTTTGAAAGGTGCTGAAACCTGGACCTCACCCCGGATGCCTGAATTCTGATTCAGTTGGTATTGGGTGCTATCTGGGCACTGGGATGTTTGAAAGCTCCCCAGATCATTTTAACATGCAGCAAAGTTTGGAACCCGCTGTAGTAGGGATCTTGGGATTTGTCAACCTTCATGGGCCTGTGAGTAGAAGGCCTGCTCTCTGACCTTCCGATTTTGGGTTCCCCAGCCTGGGCGGCTACCTGAATTGGGGGAAGCCTCTATCCTGACCCACCGACTTGGGACAGTCAGGCATTTACAATTGCGTGAGCAGTTTCCTTGATATAAATCTCTTTATACGATTTACTGGTTTTGGTTCTCTAGAGAACCCAGCCTAAGACAGTTTTCTTCCAGGAACTTGATGGTTTTAGCTTTAACATTTAGGTCTTTGAGCCATTTTGAGTCAGTTTTTGTGCATAGTGTGAGGTTTGGATCCTGATTCACTTTTCTGCATATGGATATTGTGTTTTGCCAACACCATTTATTGAAAAGACTGTTTCTTCCCCATTGAATGGATTTTGGCCCTTTGTCGAAGATCAGCTGCCTGTAGATGGATGGATTTACTTCTGGGTTCTCAATTCTATTCCGTTAGTCTATGTGTCTGTCATTGTACCAGCGCAGGGCTATTTTGATTACCATGCCTGTATAGTAACTTTTGAGATTGGGAAGTGAGAGGCCTCCAACTTTGTTCTTCTTCACTGTTGCTTTAGCTATTCACCACCACCTTCCTTTCCGCATAAAATTAGAAATTAGTTTTTCCGTATCAATAAGACTGTTGTTGGCATTTGGATTCAGATTGCATTGTATCTAGCGATTGCTTTGGGTATTATCGACATTTTTCTCAAAGTTAAGTCTTCCAGTCCATGAGCATGGAATATTTTTCCATTTATGTAGAGCTCTTAATCTCTTGGAAACCCTGGTGGTGTAGTGGTTAAATGCTACAGCTGCTAACCAAAAGGTCGGCAGTTCACATCTACCAGGCGCTCTTTGGAAACTATGAGCAGTTCTACTCTGTCCTAGGGGGTCGCTATGAGTTGGAATCTACTCGACAGCAATGGGTTTGGATTTTTCTTAGTCTCTTGCAGTAGCATTTTATAATTTTCCTTGTATAAATCTTTTATGTCCCTGGTTAGGTTTATTCCTAGATATTTTATCCTTTTGGGGGCTACTGTAAATTTTTTTTTGCATTTTTTAACATACAAAAATTTATGCATATATTGTTATGTGACTCTAATTGCTCTCCCCATACTGTGACAGCACAGTCCTCCCCCCACCACCCCCCATGTCCATTCAACAAGCTCCTAACCCTTTCTACCTTCCCATCTCACCTCTGGACAGAAGCCTCCCATTCACTCTCTTGTATCTACTTGAGCTAAGAGGCACACTCCTCATGAGTATCACTTTATGTCCCACTGTCCAGTCTAATCCCTGTCTGAAGAGTTGGCCTCGGAAATTGTTTTAGTTCTGGGCTGATAGAGAGTCCAGGAGCCATGCTTTCCGGGGTACTTCCAGTCTCAGTCAGACCATTAAGTCTGGTGTTCTTACTAGAATTTGAGTTCTGC